GGCTTAAAGAGCGGCGGGGCGGCGGCGCGGGTAAGCTACGCACCTTTCCCCCCCATCATCATCATCACCATCACCACCACCACCACCACCACCATCATCATCGCCACCCCCCCGGTAGCTGCGGTCTGAGCGCTGGGGCTGGGCCCTGCCGGTGCGCTGGGGAGAGGGAGGGAGGGACGGACAGACGGCTGTCAGTCAGTCCGTCCGTCAGTCCCCGCGTAGGGCTGAGCGGGCAGCCCGAGGACGGTGTCCCCTCGCTGGATGGAGGCCGGGGCTGCCGGCGATGCGGTGCCCGCCGCGGGGGCTGGCGGAGCGGCTTGAGCCCCTCGTCCGCCGCAGGAGGCGAGCATGTCCAGTGAGCAGCTCAACAGGACAGCGGTGAAGGATGCGCGGTTAAAAGACCTGTTGTTGGAACGAGGTACCCCTTCGTTCGTCCGGGGTGCCCGCGCCGGTTGGGCCGCCGGAGCTGGGTCTCCGCCTTACCGGAGCAAAACCCGGCCCGGCCCGGGCGGGGAGCGCTGGCTTGCCGAGAGCCCTGGGGCGGAGGGGAGGTCTTCTGGCCGGGGGGGGTGGGCCTGGCTGCCGAGGGGGATTTGGGGGTGACGGTTGATAGGGTTATAAATTAGTTCTCTTTTTTTCATGCTCTTCTGTGGAGGTGTCCTGCATCTGTAGTGGCCTTTTTCGTGAAAAAAAAAAATGTTCCCCTGGGAAAAAAATGTATTGTACTTGCTATTTCCTGGCTGTGAAGAAACGGGTCTATGTGAGCATGACAGAGTGACTTGGGGAGCTAAAAACCTATCATTTCTCTTCCCGAAGCTCCCCCGCCCCAGTCTCTTTCCCAGTTAATTTAGAGGAGAAGTGGGCAGGAGGAGATGCCCCTCTGGAAGGCAGTGCTGCAGCAGCGAGGGCCCTTCATGCCCCACGCCTGTGGGGCAGGAGGCAAGACGGGGGCCGGAGGGACCCCGTGCGTGTCGGCAGGTGCCAGAAACTGTGCAGATTGTCTTGTGCAGTGCCAGTGAATAGAGATTGCTCCTGCTCTTGTCTCTCTGCTTTTTCCTGTTAATAACCTAATGGGTAGCAGGAGGGCCAGTCAGGAGGAGAAGAGATTAAAAATTACCTTCCCCTTTCCTTTCCTTCCACTTTCCAGTGAGGAAACCCTCTTGAACGTCACTTGGGCGCTTTGTTGCGTTCTCGTGTTTGCAATGTAAAGCTGGAGCTGGAAAATCCCGTGTGCTCACACCTGTGTGCTGTGGTTTTCATTTTCTTTATGGTATGGCCATGTTTTATTCAAGCATTTCCAAACGATTCCCACTTAAGGGAAATGCTCACAGACCCAATCCTTTATTCCTAAAGGAGAGGAACTGTCCCCTGCCACTGAAATGGTGTGGCCTTGATAAATTTAGAAGACTCTGCCCTTGGCAGATAGAGAAGTAACATGTCATTCCAGTGATCTTTGCGTTCTAGCAAAGCCTAAATCAACATTGCTTGTTTTGCATGTTGCCCTTTAGCAACAGTCTCTCAATTTCCAGTCTGAAGTATTACATGGACCAAAAAAAAAAGTTTTGGGTAAAGAAACCCTTTAGTACTTGATAGCCGCAGAATGTGAATTGCAGCAGTTGTCAACTGTGTCCAGTCTGTATTCTGTGCTTCTGAGCCAAGAAAAAAATGACTTTACTTAAACATGGCTTTGGTGGGTTTGTTTTTTAATTAATTCTGTGCTTCCTGCTTTTTGATCTTTTGGTGCTGACATCGTTAGCTTCCAGTGACTCGGGGGGGCGGGGGGGGGTTGGTCCAAAAAACCCCCAGACATTGCTGCACTGCATATGGGATTGATAGCAGAAGCAGAGCAAAGCACTGACTGATCATTTTTTTGAAAAGGTTGGTGGTCTTGGTGACAAGTGGATGGTACTTAACAGCAAAGAGAAATTAAATGATAGATGTATTGCTGCCCTTTACTCTTTTCTTAGCCTTAAATAGGTTTAGTTACTCCTACTGAGATGATCGCAGAACCTCACACTTGGACAGTGGTGTGCCTATGCCCACTGGTAACATGTGACAAACAGCTGGACCTCAGCACTAGCCTCCACAGGACACTGCAGCTCTTGTAGTCTGAGGTTTTGTTCGCAAGAGAGCTTAGAATAGTGAAACAGCCTTGGGTTTCCTTTAGTTCCACCACAGGTCGTTTTGGATTTTATGTGGGAACAGCGTTTTTCTAGCTCGGCTTCATAGTCATGTTGTGTTTGCATAAGCATGCTGCTGTTACACAGGAGGCTGAGGATGACTACAAATGAAAGGGGGAGAAGCTTGTTTTCTCTGATGTTTGCTTTGTCTTTTTATTTTTATATTTTGTTATCTGTCTTTCCTCGTTGGCTCTTCAAAACAGAAATTTAATATTGGTTCCCCAAAATTCATATTTTGGCGCCCCAAAGTAGTGCCATTTTTGGAAAGTGCTGAAACTGAGCAACTCGCACTGCTTCTTGGCTTTTTCTACCAGCCTAGCAACTAAAGACCTCCTCCCGTTAACTGCAGTTGTCTTTCAAGATGAGAGCATCCCCTGTGAGCAATGCAGTTTCCATAGAAATATTAGCAACTGTGTAACTCGAAAGGGCAATTTCTCCCCTTATGTTGCTCATCCTTGCTACTCCAGTATAGCCAAAAGGGTGCAAGAATGACTCATTTCTAAATATACTTAATATTTGTGGTATAGGCAGGACTTCAGATAAGATGATGTGCTCTGATGGAGTTCATTGTAATTGTATCTCTTGCAACAGCCAAGGCCCTGGTTTCATTTTTAACTGTAGTGGAACATATCTTGTTTTAGAGTACCAGATCTCTTTTTAGATTTTTACCTGAATGGGAATGTCCTAGTAAAGTTAATTTTACTTTAGTTGGAGAGAAGTAATGAATGAAAAAGACAATGTGTGTAGACTTAATACGAAAAAAGTTTGTGTTCCACTTGATGTAGGTAGCTTTTGTGCTATTTAGCTGATGAAAAAAAGTTAAGGATAGTTAACTAGATAGTGTCCAGATTCCTGTCTCCATGGCCTCTGCTTTGGAGCTTATGGAGCCCTCTGGACTCTGTTGGCATTGCAGATGGCTATTAAAATAGGGTGGGATGTGTGTGGGGTTTTTGTTGTTGTTTTTTTTTTTTTCCCCCAGTGAAATTGTTGTATTATCCAAAAGGCTTGTCTGTGGTGTTTATGCTGAAGAATTTATTACCTGTGAAGGCTGCAGAGAAGGATCACCGAGAAATTTCTTAGCTTTGACCTGCAGCCACTTATACCAATTGATTGGCACTGCCAAAAACCGAATATTTTCATACTTTTTAGAACACACATTTTCTTTGCAAAACTTTGCAAAACAGATAGCAGTGAACATCTTAATCCAGATCAGTCTAGATGAACTGCTGAGTTTTTTTCAGATTATTGCTTTGATGGATAACATTCTGTGTGTGATTGACATATTTTCCTCTTTTTTTCTTTGTTTTAGCTGAACTGGAGTTTGTTCAAATCATCATTATAATTGTGGTTATAACTGTTATGGTGGTAGTGATCATCTGCTTGTTAAACCATTACAAACTCTCGACACGCTCCTTTATCAACCGACAGAGCCAAAGCAGAAGACAGGAAGAAACTTTGCAGACGGTGAGTATGAGCTCTTTGCACCCAATTCCTTCTTGTGCTGTACGGGTCTGCAGCAAAGCCTCCTGAGGAGTACAGACAACTCTTGGAAAAACTTCTGATGTCACTTTTACTACTCCCTATAGTTAGGTCTTTTGCTGAGGTTGTATTTGTCAGTAGAAAAAAAATCAGAACATAAATTCAAGATACACTGTCTGATTATTTTTAGACCCTGCTATGTTTTATGTAGCATATTTTCATTTTGCATTTGGAGGTTCAGATGTGATGTCCTGTTTGCTACTGCTGTAATTTGAAGGGGAGTGGAGAGGGAATGAATGGAGATCACCTGGGGTTTGAAGATTTGAAATACACATTGTTGTGACTTTCCATATATTTACTAATATCCTGGAGTTGCATCACTGTTACTGTTTTGTGAAGCTGCAATAACTTTTTGCTGGATCCAAAACCCTGGTCCAGTAATGGCCCAGGAAAATGTAATGTTTGTTTCACTGAAACAGCAAGAAAATGTTAGGAAAATGATCCCTCCAAGGACCTGGAGTGGTTAAGATGTGTTGTTACGGAGCTAAAGGCTTGAGACCAAATCTCGGTCGAGACTTGTAAAGGCTGTCCCTGGTCAACCCAGCAGTAAATGAGCATTTAACTTGCCTTGTGAGCCACGAGTTTGCTGGGTGGGATGCACTGTTCCCTTCTGAGGGTTAACCACAGGGTGTCCCTGGCCTTGGGATATCCCCGCAAGCCTGCAGTGCCAGCAGTATCTTATGATGCTGCAGGGAGATCCTTCTCCTGCTGTGCTTTTGGATGTCCTCAGAGTGGTGCCCTGGGCCTCTTTGCTGACTGCCATGGCCAAGGGGCCATTTGTGAGGGTAGCCTTCTGAGGTACTGAATTCCTGGCAACAACATTGGGTTCACAGCTTCATTTAATTTTGCTGTCAAAAAAATTATCTGACTGTAACTGGAAGGCACGATCCTGTAATGGTTTACACCAGTCGTACGTCCACAGTCTCCCCTTTTCTTTCCATCCCGATCCTGTGTTTCCTCGTTCTTTTTGCTTCTTAGAGAGCTGCCAGGGTTGTAGCGAGAAGTATCAGGGAGCTGATCTGGCTGAATAGTAATTGTTTTGTTTTTTTTTTCCATGGTTAGATTTCAACCAAATCAGTGAGCGAAGTGCCCAGCCAGGGGAGGAGGCAGGGATGCCACAGTCCAGCCTGGCAATTGGCAGCTCCCTCCTGAAAGACAGCTGTAAAATGTGATGAACACGGGGTCCCTGAAGCTCTGGCTTAGCACATCACCTGCATCCTTCTGCTGTGCTGAATAGCTCTTACCTTGGAAGCTGCACGGGGAGGAAAGGAGCTGCCTCCTCAAGGGGAGGTTGTCTCATTCTCTAGCGCTTTGGTAGCACAGGAATATTTAGCTCTAATTTGGTTACGGATGAAACTGGAACTTGTCAAACCTTAACCTTGTGGACTTCAGGGCTAGAAAAATTGGAGAGATTAATTTGAGTGGTGCTTTGAAATGGATGCCGTAATTCAAGAACCACACTTCTGTCTGGAAAATGTTAGCTATAATTACCTAAAATGAAATAATTTGAGAGAGAGGAAATGCATTTTCATCTACACAGATCTTTTAAAACTGCAGTAAGCTGTCAAATGCGTGAAGTAACCCATTATTTCCTTTGTATGGTTCGTTAGTATTGTCTGTTACCAGAGTGAGTGGTGCCTTTTCTCTTGGAAGCAAGGGAGGAAACATAATCTTCTTGTAAAGAAGAACATGCAGTTTGGCAGTGGGGACTTGGGAGCCGCTTTAGTATCCAGAACTGCTCTTAAATCACTTTTAAAACACTGACTCAGTTTCAGTTTGATGGCACCCTTGTAAGTAATGATAATCATAGCCAAGTGAGCATTTCATGGGAATTGATGATTGGTTGACAAGAACCAGTTACTAATTTGTCTGAAAACTCTCTGGTATAGGTTTGTCATCACTATTGCTCATCTGGATTTCTGATAAGCTGAAGCTGTTCTTAAAAGAACGTCATACTTGTGGAGAATGAGACTTTGGAGGTCTCTGAGGTCAGATGTCAAATAAGTTTGAATTTTCCTTTGTCTCAGGTGTTAGAAGGAAATTCTGATAGAAACTGGTTGTGCGCTGCTTGCAGCGCAAATCTTGAAAGTGGTGTGCAGTGCACAAGAGTCGGGAAACTAAAGCATTTGCTCTGATGTGGAAATGGAAATGACCCGTCTGTTCTCGTTGTCCACAGCGGAGCGAGTTGCACAAGGTAAATAGCGTGAGCAGTAAGATGCAGGTTAGATTATACACTTTTAAAATATATTTATTTTTTAACCAGGCAGGCCTTGTTCTGTGTGCAAATGCTGTGGATAAGTGGATTCTCTTCCAAGGGAATTTTTTTTTTAAATGGTATATAAACTCTGAAAACAGATTTAAATGTTTATTAACTACTAGTGTCTGAAGAAAATATCATTCTGACTCAGGCCTTCTGTTGGTGGAGAAATAGTGAATGGAAATAGAAGTAGTTCAGCAGTATTTCTTAAAAGAAAATGGTAAAGCAAATTAATTGACTGTTGGTTAGTTCCTGTAGCAAACTATGAAGTGAACCTCCACCTCACGTAACTGAGGTAGCAGATGTGTATCAAGAGGCAGAATCCTGCCTTTCCTATTCAGATGGGCTTTTTTTTTTTTGTCCTTTTGTTACCTTCCATTTTCCTTTTCTTCGAGCCTGTCCTATTTCTAGATAATCATGCATTCCAACAGCTGAGCTGTGGCTGAATTGCACAGATTTCTGGCCCTGTAAAGACCAGCTATCGAACAGATGATCTCTCTTATTCTGGGTCTTCTAGAGATTGTAATAGAAATGAACTGATAATTTATCTACTGCCTTTATTGCCAACCTCACACCTATGAAACTCATGGGTCAGGCCTCCAAATAACAAAATAAAAGGTGTTTGTGGGTTTCTTCTTTGTCTGATTGAACTTCCTTCATGTTTAAAGGAAAAAAAAAAAGGCCTGGAAGTTGAAATTCTTATTGTCTTCCAAATCCAGAAATTAGAATATTAAAAAGATGAAATATCACTGGAATCACAAGTGATAATAACACTCGAAGGGCAGAAAAGGGAGCAATCAAAAAAAGTTGCTCTTTGACAAGTACGTGCTGAAAAGTACTTGTTACATTCCTGTTCTGTAAATATGCTTTCCTGTGTGACCACCAGTTCATCTTTCTTCTTCTCTTTTTTCCTCCTTTTCATCCCCTCTCAAGTCTCATCTTCCAGTCTTTCACCTGGTCTTTGTCTTACTAACTTGGCTAGTGTGCTGAGGCCTTAAACAGATTACATCAGGGGCAGGACAACCTTTGAGCACCCAGGAATACTGGATGCTTCTGCAGCAGTGCTGCTGAGGATGCTGTCCACCCTCCCAGGGTGAGCCCTGCCCTCTCTAGCGTGGCTATTAAAACACTCAAACCCTGTTTTAACATTAGCAGAAATATGAATTTTGGGGTCGTAACTGTGGGAGGTGGAACGATGCAGAGTGACAACTGTGACGGCATGAGCAGCAACCTGACATGACCGTGCACAGTACTGAATGGTACCCATATCACAATGGATAAAATATTGAACGTTTCCCCCGATCCATCAGCAGGGTTTGGCTTTGCAGCTGGGAGCGAGCCAAGGTTTGCAGAGCATCTGAGGGGGATGTGGAAACTGTCGGGTGTGGAGTATACCAGGAGCATGCCCGGGGCGATTCTCTAGGACGACACAACCTCTTCTGTGGGAATGACTGACGCTACTGGCAGTGCTGGGGGTTTTGGGGCAGAGCCACGTGGCAGCCTTGGAAAGGCACATCCATGCACAGGGTATGTGTGTCTGATATCCTGGGGGAGGTATGTGTTGCAGCATTGCTGCCTGTGCCTTGGAAGGACTCACATTGTATAGGGAGGGTAGCGTTGCTGGTAACCAAAACCACCCTGCTGGAATGTAGGTAGCTGTGGCTGAGCTGCTGCTGTGGCACTGCTGTTTGCTGGGACAAAACAAAGATAAATCTTGCTTTCTGATGATTAACTTTTAGTGTCATCACTAGTGATTTCCAGGGGGACATTGAGGGAAAAGAGATTAACTAAGTGACTTACAGGGAGGCACTTAATGAGCTTCTGATGTTCCTAAATTGATTCCTTCTCCCCATCCTGGTGGCTTCTGTCTTGGTGTCTTTTTCTCTTACAAAGTGGATCTTGGTGGAGTACTGAACACTTGGACTGCCCCAGGCCCACTCCTGGCAGCCAAGTCCTGGGATCCATCACACAAGATGCTCACCCTGACCAGCCCCCACCTTCCAGCACCAAGGGCAGCATTGCTGCTAGGGCTAGTCAGCTTGCATTAGGACCTGCATTGATAATGCCCGTCTCGAATGCCAAGCTGCAGAAGCACAGCTACAAAAATACTGTCCTCTTTCCTGGAACAGCTATTTCAGAATAAAGGGGGAATATCAGGAGGGTGACAGAAAATACTCAGTAATATTGACAACTCCAGGGATTTGTCGGTGATTTCAAATGTTAGCCTTGCCCCTTGACCTTTTAAATTATTCCCTACTGGTGTTAGCATTATTCCTTCTGTTCCCTGCTGGCATCCCTGGGTCACTCGTTCTCATTTTCTTACCGACATGTGCAAAAGAAAGAAAATCCCAGTGGGAACAAGAAGCCAGTCTATAGCTGGGAGACAGTGTGAGTGCTGTAGACCACCCTCCTTTGCCAAACCTTTTCCTTTGCACCAGGCATCAGCTGGCAGGAGCTGGACGTGCACTGTGTTCTCCTGCCATCTGCATGAGGGACATTGGCTTGCCTCTTCCTCGGGGAGTGCTGCCAGGAGGGACAGCGTGCGCTGGCTGCTGCTCTTTGAAGTCTACCACAATAAAGTCGGAACATCTTTAATAAGGGCAGGATTGTCTAGGAAATCTGCAGGTAGGACTAGAACCGAGGAGCACCAGCTTTGGGTGGCTTCTGA